TAACAAGCTTAATACCGCTAACTATTTTATGTGATAGCCGTATGAAGTCAGACGTGGTAGAATTAAATTATTCCTAGTTGAATAATATATTCCGCAGTACGATAGATCACTGCTACCCGACGAAATTGAGTGACAGCACTATATTATTATTATTATACTCTGTACTGCAGGACAATGATAAGGTCAAAGTTAAACGAATTTGCAAATTTCCAATAGATATGGACATTTTGAAATAAAATAACTATTGTTTATTGGGAATTGCTCAAACTACATTTACAATATATTATATATATATTACATTTTTGAAGTGAAACTTCTTTAAGCATGGTAGTGAGGAAAAAACGAAATGTAACGGGCGGTGCCAGTGTGGCCAGACTCTCAAGCTAATATTATCGTAAAGTACTTAAATAATTATAGTTTTTCAAAAAATTATCGTACACCAAAAATGTTTTTGCTTCAGTGCCAAGATTATAATACCCTGTATAGTATATTATATTATATTGCATATAAAAACGCAAGTGTGCATTCGATATTGTTGTCACACAGTCAACATTTTAGACTCGCATTGCAACTCACCGATGCTTCGACTAGTACGAATTCTATATAATATTATTACTATGAGCACGTATATCGCATTATTGTTTATGTTATCTTGTACCACTAATGGACTCCAAGTACAGGACACGCGTTTTAAATCATCCGTTCAACAAGCGTATTATAATCGTTATCGGACGACGATGGACTAGCTATCTAAACAGCGTCTCTGTAAACAGCTGGTTCAATTATCATGATTTGTTATTGCTACTTCTTCGACTCCCATAACGCGTTGGGTTAGTGTACCACAACACTCGGATATACCATGCTCCTCGTACAGTATATATATATATATATATATATATATATACCATACACATATGTTATCGTTACTTATACAAATAAATACACATGAATAATTAATGATCGATTATTAAAGCATCTATACTTAGAGCCCAATATCAGTTAGCATCTAGTATATTTAATTAATTGTTATTAATTGATTAATTCACTTACAAACATTTTACCTGGATAAAAGCAATACTACAAACAATTATCCATCGATCAGTCGAATAAAAATAAAAAATAATAAATAATTCCGGATAACTTCCTCTCATTTTTTAAATTAATTAATATTAACTAACGTGTACCGTTCAAAAGAAGTTTCACTTCCCGCGCGCGTACTGGTAACACACACACTAATTTTTCTATGCAGTTTATTGGTCCCATTTTAAATTTGAAAACTACGTGTTATTATTTTTGATATCAAATAATATTATAATATATTATATCTATAACATATAAGTTTATTACATATCAGTACATTCATTGCAAAACAAAACTCTTTAAAATACTATAATGATAATATTGTACTCTACAAGTGTCTGTGCTCGAGATAAAAAAAGAGTTTTAGACGATTCGTTAAAGTCACATGTATATAATATTATAATAGTATAGGTACGCCTTTAGAGAATACGAATAAACAATTACAGAGTGAAAAAAAAAAGAAAAACAATATTGCTTTAAAATGCGTCTAAATAAAAATAAAACATCCAAACAAAATATACTCAGCTACACTCTAAAAAGGCGTTAAGGGAATTATGTGCGCATTATACCATTGTTTAATCCACAAACACAAGGCAAGGATGTATTATTATTATACAATATACATTATACATACATACTGGTTTGACCCAATGTTTGTTTGAAAGTGGATATTAATCCACGCATAGTACTACTTCGTCCATTGTAATAACTCACAAAGGGCATTTGGAAATCAATTCCCCATCGTCCAATTTTTATTATCCGAGATTATCATAGGGTAAATAAAAAGAATGTGTACGATTTTCTCTTATTGAATTTGAGTACTGACACGTTATTTTAACATACCTGTATTTATAATACGTTTGAATTCCAATATTGTATTGTAGGTATATTGTGTTGTTATTCAACATCAAATATTGTCCCATAAAAGTTATTTTAATTAAATTCTATCGAATATTTTTTTAATTACCGTGTCAAATGCATTTTTCAGTTCGTGCAATTAATTTAATTCAACTTAAAAATGATTATACTCGAGGCACCTGAAGCACAACACTACGTTAATTTAAATCCCGAACTGGCATGCCTACCTTTTTTTTTTCTTTTACAACGACGAACAGAATGTGATATCGATTGTTATGGTCATTTATTTATTTATTCATTTATTATGTTTGACATTCATTGCCATGAATATTGAAGCAGCAAATACAATTTCACAAGCGTCATATTTTTTCGTCATAATAAAAAAATAATTTGGTGAATCAGTCTTTCAACCCCGAAAAATATTTCATTGACAGTTTCAATAATATTTATTGAGATTATTTCCAAATATGTATGATACGAAAATTTCTTACCCAGTATACTAAAGTAAATAATATTTTGAACTATTATTTCATATTATTTAAAAGACATTATTAAAACTTATTCAACCTAGACGTAAATTTTTTTTAAATATTTCATAAGAATAAAATATATTAATTATAATTGTTTTTCTTTTGAACTTTTTAGTAACATAGTATATAAACTAATACGTTTTTAAGAAAAACTGTAAGATACAATTTTTATTATTAGTAGGCTTGTAGCACCTACAATAAATTTATATTAAAAGGAATTAGCTAATGTGAAATATTTAATTAAAATTTCGTTTAAGTTTCAAACATAAATTAATACATAATATTGTATACCAATGTGGACAAATATGGTTAAATGCTCTTCGCGTACGTTAGGCCCAATAGTTAATATAGCTAATACTATATTGATACATTTACTATTACACTATCATAGTATTATACTATTATAGGCTACAGCTTATATTATATTACAATGTTTGATATTCAATTTCTCTCGATATCTCTCCAGTACTCTTGATTATATTATAACCCGTTCTGAGAATATTATTATTACCAATATTTGACTACATCCTGTACCCATATACATGTATACGTACTAAAGTAGTATTCATAATCCGGTGAAGGGTCCTTAAATTAAGATCGATTTGGTATGACTATATTTGGGTTTATCGATAGGTAAAATCATACACGTGTAAAATAATGGTGTATTATGGTGTATTATTCCTACACCACTTTAAAATTGTAAATGTTGGTTTCTACATAAAATTCTTAATGCATTACATTAAATCACTTGAATCAAACCCAGGTAGCTTATGGAAGGTATTTGCCACTCAGTGTTGTTGAATATGTTTTTTTTGTGTGCTAATATGTGCTATAATCACGTCATTAAATTCTATTATGGATATTTTCTGAAATTTCAACTCCCAAGAGTTATTATTTTTTTGAATTACAGCTATAAAATAATTTGTATTTTATTGAAACCGTTTTTTCCTAAAAATTCCAGTTCAAATGCTTAAAAAATTGTGTGTTTTGTTTACTTTTAATGATTTGAAACTTTTTTGCAAATGTTTTTTTCCCCCACCAAATTAATAGCTATATATCCACCCTCAAAGTTGAATATCAAATCATTTTAAAAACTCCTAAAGGTGACGTCAAATAAAAAAGGTGCTTTGCTGTACAGTAGGTTACAATTGGGTCACTGTATAGTAGATGGTATTAAATTTGAATTCAATGATATAATATCATTGCATAAGAAAAACAATTCTGAGCGAAAACGGTCAGTCAGCCTATGATGTTACGAAGTATATTTGATGATATTATTATGAATAAAGTAATTTATATATTTACCTATTTACGTGGACTCTTGTTTTAAATTTCCAATCCTTAGCTATAAAAGTTGAACATTTAAAAAAATGTTAACTACAAAATAACTATATTAAATTTAAAAATGATAAATTTTGACAAAATTCGAACTTTAAATGCTTATAAAAAAAAATTACTATGGATTTTTAATTTTTTCATCTGCCTTTGAAACAATATACTAGGAGCCTTCTATTAAATTTTCAAGCTTTTTTAACCAACAAATAAAATTTTATTGATATTTATGGAAAAAAAACTAAATAAAATGGAAACTAAAAATGTCCGTAAACAGCTCAAAATGAGTCAAAATATTTGGAAAATGTTATATTGTAGAGAACATGCTAATAAAAAACTTTCAGTCAAAATGTCATGTACCTAAGGTAATTTGTTTAAGAGTTGCACCAAAAACCAAAATCAATTTTTTCGAAAACAGATTTTGCGTAAAAGTTCCCGTTTTTCCTTAATTTTTCTTTTGTTTTTCAAGGCGCATTTGAAAACTTCTATAAAAATTTTACTTTTGACCCCCCAAAGTACCAACTATATTCACTTTCCTATCAGAAAAGATACTGTTGCAGAAAATCCAAGCACTTTTACTGTCCTAAAAGGTAATGATAGACACAAAAATAAATAAACACACGCCATTGTAAAATCAATACATTCATCGTTCCACTCGGAATCTAAAACAAAACATCATTAAAAAACCAATAAATTCATCACTCCATTCTCATTCTAAAAAAAAATGTATGTAGTGTCTTATGAAAACCCAAACCCACTAATAATAATCATAAATTTTTTTTTAAATTGTAACCGGTTTTTCATTTACTTGAAAATTTTTATGATACGTTAGTCGATAAGTGAGTCGTAAACTACAATAAACTATTACAAAAACTCACGTATTTTTTGTTTTAAATCTAAAATAAGCACACAAAAACAATAATATTGATATCCCATGTGGTGTAGGAATTGACTATTATCAAAAGACTATTATATTGACTATTATAATTTATAATTTATATTATTATAAATATTGAAAAAAAGGTTATGGGGAGGTCTATTTCCCTATACCAGCCCTGTTTGACCGCCACTAGTGACGTCTAATAATCAATATTATAATATTAGGTATACAATAGCTATCAATAAGTACAACACTACGGTGTAGATTTTTGATTATTAACCGTTCTTTTTTGTATACCCAAATGTCAGTTCGAACCGAAAATGCGCATCATTCCGAACCTGCTGGACGAAGTGCTCAACGGCACTCAGTCGTCGTCGTCCGCGGAAAAGGACGACGAGTTCTACAGCGCGTCTAGCACCGAGGAACAGCCCAGGGACGACCCAAAGGCAGTGTTCACCGTCCAGGACACCGCACCCGAAGAGTACGAGGACAGCGGCATGCCGCTGATGCAGTACACTACGTTGCCGAGTAGCTTTCACCATCATCACCACAACAACAACAACTACAACAACAACAACGACAACAAGACCAACAACAACTACGGCAAAGACGACGGGGGCGTGGAGGAGAATACCATTGCGGAAGCCGAGGACTTCCGGGCGGCCGACAAGGACCGGAACGCTGACGACGATGCGGACAACACGTTGGAATGGCGCAACATCATGAAGAGGCAAGCTCTGCTCGAGAACCTTCACCGAAACACCATCATAGCGAACAAGCGGTAAGTGTAGGCCTCGGAGCTAATATCGTAGCTATTTAAAAAAGCTATTTATTGTTTTATATTTTATATATTATCTATAAATTGGTTCGCTTCGTTTTGTCTCTCAGAATCAAAAGAGTTTCTGATCTATATTAACCTAATCGTCACAATCGAAAATGTTAAATGTTAATCGGATTTGAAGAAAACACTGTTATTTGTAGTTTGTAAACAATTTTACCCTAGTCTGTAATATGTACTTATCACCAACAACTGTAGTATGGACCGCATACATGTACCTGCCATACAGAATGCCTTAGGGTTTTACATATAGGTCAAAATGAATTGCATTTGAAAAATACTTAAATATTTTACTACGTTTCGTACCCTAAGTAATGTGAACTCATGAAAGTCTAATATTATGTACACTTAGTTTGAGATAAAGCAAGGAAATAAACACTATCGTTACCCACCAAAGGTTAACGATTGCAATATTCTTAGTAACCAGCTAGTACCGACAATAAATACTCAAAGTACCTACACATTTAATGTCAAGAGATTATTTCGCTGAAAAGTATCTGCTAGTGGGTAGCTCCAATAAATTATGTACCCTATAATAAAATTATTCAAAAAAAAAAAAAAAAAAAAAAAATGTTAAACCGGTAAAATAAAAACTATAAAAAAATATAAGTAGCAATTGTATTATGTATGGTGGTTTAAATTTAACGTTTACTTTTAAAAATAATTATTTAACCAACAATGTCGTTTTAAAATAAATTTAAACCTTTACGATATACAATTTTTCAGAAACATTATGTTTAACTGCCTCGTCAATCTTTTCATCTATCAAATGCAAATAAATTATTTAAATTTATTAATGATGGACTTCATGTTCTTAACAGCAGTTTATCGTAATACAATATTTTTTTTGTTATTTGACGTACAACTTGAGATATCTTACATTAGGTTTTTATGAAGTTCCGTATTATAAAATAATATAATAAATACGCAGTATGTATTTAAATAGTAATATAGATAATATACAAACTAGCTTTGTGACCCGACTTTTCCTGAGAAAACATGAACAATTAATATAAAATACATCGCTCTACGTATTTCTGTTTGAATACCTTCCTCAGGTCTTGGGCAAGTTGGTGTCGGTGTCTCTTGGTTTTGTGCATACATCCAACAGTGATGAGAAATCCACCTAAGCATGGTACATTTCAACAGTTGTATGAGATTGTATTTGTATGTTTAATGTACAGACGACAGATATAGGTTAACATCAAGTTATAAATTTGCTTCATTTTTAAAAATCGTACTTCACAGAAGTAAAATGTGACGTAGGTATGAATACATTATCAATGCTTTAAGTTGAATCCGATTTTTCAAGAATAAAATATTTTCTTTTTTTGTATGTATAACATCTTAAACAATATTGTATTATTTACGTTGTAAGTCTTACGGTGGCTATTATTGTAATCCAAGATAATGATATTATATTATATTCGTAGGTACTTTTCTACATAAAGTAATTAAATTTTTATTTGACATACCTATTATTCTAAAATGATCTACCAAATACCAAGTACCTACACTTATGAAAATAAAAAAATCCTTAACAATATATTCACTTATATTTTCAAAATATGATACAACAAAAGTAATATTAAGAACTTTGGAATTAGAAAGTGGAGTATCATTATTAGATAAAAATCAATGGTATAACGAATCCAAGTCCCATTTTTGAGATATTTTCTAAATATGCATTGAACTATAATAGAAATAGTGTACTTACATGTAGAATAAATATTTTAATTTATAACGAGGTACTGCGGCAGTATAGCTAATACAATATTGTATAGTGAGTACGGTTCTTAATATATGAAAAAAATATAAAAATATAAACATTTAATGTAAACAGTTTTTAACAATTTATTACAATTTTCAATTAAGATCATAATTAGAGTAAATTTCGAGTTCATACCGAAATTAGTATTGGTATAACAATTTAATATATTATTCAAAGTAGTATGATATAATAATTGCATTCATGTATCTAGATTGAAACTGCTTTCGAGGAGGTATGCTAAAAGCCGGTTCGAAGAGGACAGGACTCGAACAGAGATCGGTCGAAACTCGTCAGGTTTTGCCGCCGAACAGATGACCATCGACAGCGAAGACTCTTTCCAAGTAGACAATGGGTCACCACCCATTCCTTCGTCACCCACTGGTCTTCCAGGGTCACCTACATGCGACGACGAATCGTCGCCCACCAAGTCTAAACAGCATTTTACGTTCCCCACAGTCAACGAAACAGACGAACCTAATGATGGAACCAAAAGGTATGAAAAATAATAGTTCTGAATGATCTGTGATATTATGCTAAGATTTTTACAAATTTTGTAAAAATATTATTTATTATTATCTCCAAAATGTTATAAATGGTAAAACTATATAAAATATTAATATAATACTCACCAGCCGCGGCAGTCACCGTCAACTTTTCCATCTTATTGTTATCGTGATCTCGGTTTTCTAATTTTCTCTTATCTTAAATTTGTACTTCTAGAAATTAAAAATATAAACAAAAGTGAAATATATTCGTTTTTTAATATTTATTTTAAACCTTAAAAATATGGCTGTTCCTCGTGTATGAGTGGATGATAGTTGCCGTACAGTAATGTTAATAGTTGTAGGGTGGAATCAAAATCCTAAAATCTGTATTAATTCCATTAAATCTCAGGATAAAAATATTGTTAACTACCAAGATTGGAATATAACCATATATTTTAACTTTCATACCCCAAAATTAATATATTACCTATAGCCTATAATAGGTATATCATGATTATGCAGTCTTCCATTAGCTGCCATTCATAACACTTATACGCGTTCAACGAACATGTTATAAATATCGTTTATTAAATACAAATTGTCAACGTTTTTTTAATTTTTCGAGTTTCGTTTGACAAACTTGTAAACCTATCAATAATTAATATTAATATAGTATTATCAATTATTCAACAACTTTTTTGTTGACTTTATAACTGATCCATACTCCATACTCTATAGCGTGATACTATTACGTTCTACCTACTTAACTTATAATTTCACAAAAATTTGATTAATTTTTCTATTTATATTTCCCCATACCATAATATTATTATTAATTTATAATCATTTGAATTCCGTTTAAGTCATTATAATTTACAAACGAATTTATTTTCTATTTATAATTTAGTCGACAAGATTACTTTTTGTACACAGAAATATCCGTACTTTTGAGAATTTACGTATTTAAGTCTAATTATATTTTAAATTATATTTATTCTAATTAATACTCGTAATTAGTATGGAATTTACGCATAAGATATTTTGCATTCAACACTGAAACACATCAGTGAATATTCCTTAAGGGAGATTATTAATTAATATAATATGAACTTTTGGTTGTAAATTGTAATATATTATTAAATTCAGTAACATGATTAACGTCATTAACGTGCAATATATTGTAGACGTCTTGTAGTTATTTCGATAACAAGACGCATCAAGAATATAATTCATGAAACTTAATTAATTTGGAAAACATCAGGATTAAAAAATAATTTACTTTGTAGTCCTTGATAATAATATCTATTATAATCAGGGTGTGCTTGTTAAATAATAAATAGACATTTCGCATGTTCCATTTGCTAATCCGTTCATCAATTTATCATTATTTACACTTATTGGCTTCCTCGTTAAGTTTAAAAGTAATTGTCGATTTTGGGTAATTAATTTCAACATCCATTATTTATCTTATTTGGAAGCAGCTTAATTTATACTGGTCACAATCAATATGACAATATTTACAACGTTTAATTAATAATAACGACAATAGTTTTATTAACATCCATAAAGATAAAAAAATATATACAAATGTAATTTAATTTGTTTATACTTAATTATTGAATTTAATTTATACAAAAATATTAAAACTTAAGAATTTATTGCCCAAGTTATAACATTGAACTTTGGAAAATTGATAGAAATACATTTTATTATTATGCCTTGTATATTATTCGAATAATAAAAATATAAATATCATGTCAGTGTTAGTCACATCAGAATAAAATTTAAAAGACACTCATATTTTTAGCGGAAAAGTACCTAAGATGATATGGTTTTTAATGATTTTTTTTAAAATTCCGCATTTTATTTTTCTCAATAATATATTTTATATGAAACCAATAAAAACATATTATCACTTAAATACACAGTATAGATTTTAATGTTAAAAGTTATGATCAATAAAATTGTATTTTAGATGGGTTAACTTAGTAATGTTTTATTACTATTGCCTTTCTAAATACCTAATAAACCACTAAAGTTTAGTGACTGTTCAGGTGCTATTCTTTTTTTCGTACGAACAATTTGGTACACAATAATCAGTGCATAATATCATCAAGCACTCGTTGCAAATTTTCATTAATTACGGTTATAATTTATGATAGTTTTTGTGTGTACGATCAAAAAATATAACTAAAATTCTCATTGTATTAAAATTATAGAAATCATAATTAATATTAATACATATTGCCATTGGTCGTTAAGAAACGTGTATACACACCACACTATATTACCTATTTTTCGTAACGTTTTTCAAGTATCGGACGCGAATATTAATTTATTAAAAGTGATATTATAAACTAATTTGATAAAGCTACGAAGGTACCTACAGCACGAATGTTGTTCGCGGATATCACTAGATTAATTACTGCTGTAAAATTACGATATGTCAAAATTAATGGTTACTAATGATAGTATAATACACTATAAAGGTAAGCGTGTAAAAGATTTTGCTATCCATTAATAACAGTATTAAAATCAAATTACTAAATTATGTGTATTGATATAGAAATGTATTATGTTTTCAATTATTATTAAACGAGAACGAATTTATTTTGTTTGAGTTATTACGCCAAACAATTAATCGTTATAATTTTTTTTTGTTCCATTGAAATATTGGGGAAAATTGATTTGTTTGTTTGATATATTAATTACTCATAACTATAAAATAACATAATAATTATTTTTTTTAAAAGAGAAACAATATTTTGAATTTTCTCGTGACCTCAGTTGTACTACCTGCACTTTATAGTCGCAATTCAACATTTCAGTCTCAAACGATCGTTTTATCAGAATCAGACGTTAATCGTTATAAAATCCGTCATCAAACAACGAAATATCGTAATAACGGACGTGCCATTATTCAATACAGCCGTAGCAGCTGTCGTTAAAATGCGCCTTTTATCAAACGCGTCAATGCGCAGAGAGTAAGTGTACTCACTCGGTGGTCTTTTTTTTTTGGATTTCGTCCGAGCAGGTCATATTATTATGTGGCCAGTCATGTTGGCTTTGGACCACTCGTGTGCGCGTTATAATAGATGTTCCCCCACTAGACAATTTTTTTTCCCATTTTACAAATTGCATTCGAATAACAGCACAGCCCGCGCGTACCACGGCGTCGAGGATCACTATACTTATGATATACGTCTGTCACGTATAACCAACACTAGGAAACAATTTTTTTTTTAACAGAAACTATTAACACTTATATCACACATTTAGTTATATTTCATACTATACCTCCCATATCCTTACACTTTTGCGACTCACGGTGTGGTCGAATAAATCGTTGACGAATGATCGCCACTGGCCTTTGCGTGGTTTCCAGGAGACCGTCGACGGTGTACAGCCGGACGCCAAACTGGAACAACAAGGAGCGGAAGAACTCGGCCGTGCTGCTGGACGCGTTGGTCATCAACAAGAGCCAATCTGCCGCGGTGGTCATGTCGGACACCGGACAAGTGGCCACGATCGTTGTCCAACAGCCGTCGTTGTCGGCCAACTCGCCGGAACAGGGGCACGAAGGGTGTCAGACGGCGCCCGTCGAGCTGCCGATCGACTTCAACCGGTGGCCCGACTTCGCCAACAGCATAAGTTCTCAGCAGTATCACGACTTTCAGATGAAGTGAGTGGAGCCAATACATTATTCTGTGTCGCATGCGACATATCGTATTAGCCAATAGGAAGTAATAGGTTTCGCTATCCGGTACGTCGGAATTTTCGTCAGTCGACACAAAATGAGATCGAAACGGGCAGACGGGTAGATCGAGCCCTGTAACGAATGGATCGTATCAATCGTTAATTATTGTGGCCGACAACACACAATTATTTAAAATTATTATGAGGTTTAATTTATTTGTTTTCGTGTGACAGTAAATTCTTACATAATATCATACCGCGGATGCCGACTCGCATAATTCAAGTTTATATCCCGAATATAATCCATACTTCATGCAACCCATCAGAGTTCTATTTGCCACACTGTTTTCATTACTTAAAAATTATTGCATTTACAATTGCTCGTTAAGACTGAGGGAGGTAATTGACTTTGAGCAAATATCGATATTTTGTTAAATAATAAATAATTATATATTATTATTATTATTATTATTTTGTAACCTCAAAATATTGGCTTTAATTGTTAATACGTTTGAGTTCATTATATTTATGGTAATACCTACAGGAAAACACGTATGAAATCGTTCATAATATATTATGGGATTAAGGTTACTAGGTAAGAAATTAAATATGTATTTGGAGCGACAAGCACTGGGTTATTAGACCACCGGAATCATATTTCATACCGGTTGACTATTTTCATATCATACATATTATTATCCGTCTAGCATATTATTGAGGTACGAAAATTTTATTTGAAATTGATATCGACCGACTGTTTTGAGTTTCATGTCGACGAACATGGTATATTTTGTGAATAATAAATCATAAAAACAGGAATAATAAAACTTGATTGTATGTCCTTTAAGGAGTGTCCTTTTGTATTCAATAAACATTGTTTTATGCTAAATTAAAGTGAAAACAAATTTCATTACTATAATTTATGTTATAGTTGTATATAAATTATAAATTATTTATAAAACTTATAATTTATTTGTTAAGATTTTCAAATATCATTAAGCATCCGTCACACTTTTTTCATTATAACATCACTATCATATAATATTGAAATAAACAACACGTTAATTTCACTTCTCCAAGATTACGATGTATTTAATCAATTTGCTATTTTGAAGTAAACGTATCACCACCCTCTTCCCGCTCCTCAATGAATCCATCCAAACAAAAAAAAATTGTGAGTAAAATAATACATCCAATTTTAATGTTTCTTGATATTAACGTTAAGTAAATATGTCTGTTCTGATATCAACTTCAACTAACTCAATTTAAATAAAGCAAAACAATTTTTCGACTCATGCTACAAGTTTTCACTTGTAATATTTATTTAAGTTACAGAAAATGACATTTTATTTAAAAGAATGTTTCACTAAAAGAATTAGCATAAAAGATAATGTCGTAATCCTAATTGAATCAACGACAGTGATTTTGGTTTTACAGAGTAAAAGATTCATTGATAATACTATAAAATAATAGTACAAATATTAATTTACTATTAATCTTATACTAGAAAATTGTAAGATTATACAATTTAATGATTAGTAATATGAATCACTTTGAATATCTGTTGTAATTTTTTATTCTATTAAATTAATTTAGGACACTGCAATATATATATTTCAAACCTAAATCTTAACTTCAAAATGATTTTGTCGCTGCTAGTTAAAACATTTCTGTGTTTAATAAATGTGATAGAGTTCAAAGTTTAGAAAGTAAATAAAACCTTTTGACCATTTCACTGAATTGTTTCTTCATTTCCACTTTTTATTTTCGTTTGAGACTGTGAAAGTTATTGTTGCTCATTAAAGTGTGTAAAGTTTATTGGTTTTAAAAACTCATACTGTGACGTATTAAATTGCAAGACTTCATTTTATCAAAAACTTTTATTCTTGTTTTCGTATCTTATATCTTATTTGTACAGAATCGCTTGCATAGTATCATATAAAAAAAAAATATATTTAATGTTTGTGACACATAATACTAATGGAGCATAACGATATTTCATAATATTATGAACTTTATTTAGATATATACATGCAAATTATAATGCTATATTCCAAACAAACTCGCTAATTTTAATCTTATGTCATAAGGTAGTAAAACTTTAATTTGCAAGTTTCATGGGTGGCATATTTTTCATGAACTATTCGAACAAGATGAGAATACTATTTATTTATTTATTTATTTATTTATTTATTTATTTATTTATTTATTTATTTATTTATTTATTTATTTATTTATTTATTTATTTATTTATTTATTTATTTATTTTATCATTAACTAATTTATTAAAATTATTATGTGTTTGAATATTGTATTATTCATTCAAATAGGTAGGTACTTTATAAAAATATTAAAATACATGTAATTTATATATTTGAAAATATTAGAGAAAAATAAAATTTGATTATCCTGATTATATTTTAGTTTATTTAATATAGGAAGGTATAATTAATATTGATATAATTTTTTTTGCAATCGCCGAAATTTGTTGATAAAAACTACCTCCTTTCTGGCCAATATAGATTTTAAGCGTTGTATTATATTTATAGTGCACAAGGTATATAATAATACCTCTACCTCAGTCAGCATTGAACTTTAACCATCTGCAACTGAAATTATCAATTTTAGTAGAAATATCAATTTTAAGTAACGATAATGGCTTAACCGTTGAGTTATTGATCCGTAATGTAAAATACTGTATTTGATACTTGCATGCCAAAAGTTATAAATTATAAGAATATGGTTGATTTTTGAATACCGGTTTTTTAACTAAACCAAAACAAATATAGTCGGTAACGATGTGTAGGATATAAAATGTTAATTGGGGACGAGGTGGCCGAGCGGTCTAACGCGTCGGCCGCGGCGCTGGCAGTCGCGGGTTCGATTCTCGACCACCGGGCGGCATTTTTTTCCGGGCAAGTCACGGTGTCCGGAAAACAAGTGCCGCCATCCCCCCACTCCGGGGCATGGCAGAAACCTACGGGTGCCCCAATAAAAATTCTGCCACCACAAACACACGTGTTTACAAACCCACAGTTCCCTCCCCTACAAACTAAACAAACAAAAACAGCTAATGGCCATAGTTGCCGTGCTTAATGATCAATGAAAAAAAAAAAAAAAAAAAAAAAAAATGTTAATTATAGACTATTATTTTTATGATTTAATTGAATTTTAATTTTTAACACAATTGTATTCAATTTTAATAGTAGAAATGGGTTGACGGCCCTCTTCAAAATTACCTTAAAAAAAAGTTAAGATATACGCTTTGAAAACATTGTTGCTGTCTTTTGGAAAAATGGTTACAAACTTAATGTGCCTTTAAAAGGATGTTCTCCTCATAAAACTTTCACCTAAATTAACCCAAGAAGTTTGAAAACTTCAAAATTATTTTTGTACCAACGCAGTTAGATATTTAAACTTATATTAGGTTAACTACAAATCAAAATTAAGAACCAAGGTGTTCTAAAATTGTATTAACTGAGATATTTATTTAAAGTACTGATAATTTAGGTATTGAATGTATTATATTATAATTTTGAAATCAATTAAATAAAACAGCAATATACTTATCAAATTTCACATTATGTAATAATTAAAAAATCTTGAGATATAGTGCTACAACTATGCCATATAATATTTATGTGTTATGTCGTTTAACGTGATTTAGTTTCAAAACCCAATTGGCGTATGTACCTACTATATATTGTGAGCTCAAAGTTATTTTCAACCTACATAGTATACAATATTTACGAAACTTTTTGAGCATTCTATTAACCAATAAGAAAGTATCTAAGTAATTAAGTAGTTTTATTAACTAAAACAAAAATTCGCAATGAGAAAAAAGAAGGTTAGGTACGCCAATCATTGTGTTATTTATATCCTTAAGTCAGCGGATTTCTAAAAGTGAACTCACAAAAAAAATTCAAATCATAGGTACCTATACCTATTTGTTTTGTAAAACAAAATGAATCTATTAAATATTATACTAAGACTGTACTTGCAATCAAAATAAATAAAATACATACCACACATTTTCAAAGTATGAAACGGGATTAGTTTTCACTTAAAATATCGTTTATATAATATGTATGTTATAGGAATTGTTATTGACGAAAATATACAAACTTCTCGGGAAGTCGACCTGCGTTTATTTATTTATTTTCAGCAAAACATCAGCTTTGCCATGAACTGTAGTTTTTTTTAATGTAATTTTTTTTTTCCATCACACTAAACTGTCCATTCATTTAACCTTTGCCGAAGAAAAAAGGGAATCATTAATCAAGCTTTTTTATGGCCACCGCCCGTAAAAGGACGAAAGACTCGCTTTACCCTGATGTAAAATGAAGGGTTTGCACATAACCTATATTTACAAGTTTCCATGTCAAATTTAATAATAGCATCATTTTACATGTGTGCATCTACTTATTCTACTTTTCATTTTTTCTTTTTTTTTTCTTTTTTTTTTATTTTGCGTGCATTTTACGATGTGACTTTGCAAAATTGAAACTACGGCTAAGAGCAATGAACTGTTTGGTTTTAATGATATATCCTGTGCTGCGTAATGATTTACGACTTGGCAAAAAATACGAAATGCCTATAACATTTTTAATGACGGCATTAGTAAATTTCTTCACAAACACGGGTTTAAAAGTCTCGTATAATTTATTTATTTAGTACAATATTAAACCAATATATTTTATTAACTAATTATATATAGGAGACTATAATATTAATTTCTAAGGGATTTTTGAATATTGTTAATATTCTTCCAGAAGTGACATAATTTCACAAGATGTATGGTTTTTTTTCAATTTGCCAACATATTGTATAATATTTGTACGTCTTTCTATCTGTTTTTAAATACACATGGTGCAATCTTAATCTCTACTATGATTACTTATTTATTGTCTGTCTCAAATGTTCTTGATTTTTATGTAAGTTTCCATAAAAAATAATATTATATTTAATGAATTTTAATGTAAATAA